CGATGCGGACGTGAACGATTCTGAGTCGATTCACAAATGTCAAAAATCGATTTTCTAAATATTTAATTTATAACGTAATGTTGATGGAACACAAAAGGCGGAACTTGGAAGTGCAGCGCCCGGACAGTCTGTGACGGCACATAACAAAAACACTACTGGATGAGTGAGAAATCCGACCAGCACCCTCTGCATTAAAAGCCAGATTAGATCAGGAGTCACAACACAAATGATAAGAAGAGCCATTTTGTCCTTTAACATAAATCAAACCATCACTGCCACAGGATCTTATTTCACCGTAACTGCGCATTTTATCGCAGATGAGTGGCAGCAGCTTTTCGTGCTCCAAACAAGAGCAGTGAATGAGAGCCTTCTAGTTCACTTACCACATCACTTCTATTTGATTTATTAAAAAAGATATTGGAAGTAAATTTGTTATTATGAATCATTACAAATACTTTGCTTTAAAAGTACCAAGTCACTTTAAATAACAATAACACTGAGTTACTTAGTCACTTGTATGTATATTGTCTCTATATTCTGTGTATATTCTGTGTATATTTAATATACTTGAATATATTTTGTTTTTTCTTGTGTTTTTATTTTTACTTATTTACTTTCTGTACAGTGATTAGCTGAGTCTCACCACAAGCATTTCAATGCATAAATGTCCTGACGTTGTGCAAGTGACAAACTTGAAACTTGAACTCGAAAGTTGAGCTCACACAGTGAGAAAATATAAATGCTATATAGAAAAAAAAGATGCATCGAGATGCATCGATAATCATTTTATAACCGCATCGCAGCCCTCTGAATTGTAATCGAATCGAATCGTGAGGTGCCTAGAGATTCCCACTCCTATTATCTAAGCTTGCAATAATAAAGATAATGACCCCATGCTTTATATGGAATGGTACTGTGCTAAAATAATTTTTTATAAACCTGACATTGCTTGCTTTGATTGGGCTGATTTTTCTGATCTGATTCTCTACAAAAATACTACAGGAACACTTGCACAGTTTTGCAAATATTACTCAGACAGAAACGGCATTTACAGAAAGGAAACTTAGGCTACATTCACGCTGCTCAAATCAGATTTTTTGCTCAAATCTGATCTCTCTGACACAATGTTTCACACTCGTTTAGGTAACCGATTCAAATCTGTCATTAATGGGAACAAACCTGCATCCCATTCACAATAAGGTTGCATGGCCATGAATCGGATACGTATCCGATCTAGGACCACATATGAAATTGGCTCAGGTTGGATTTGAAAAGATCAGATTTGCGTGTCCACACAGCCCTGAAAACATCAGATCTGAGTCACATTAGGGCAAAAAATCGGATTTGTGCCACTTCAACCAGGTAATGTGAACGCAGCCTTACTAGTTAGTTTTTATGTATTTTGAACTGTTCTTTCACAACAACCTTAAGTGAACAGCACTGAGTTTTAGTAATTTTCCTTTACTGCTGGAAATAATAATCAGTAAAGCAGTATGACATGAACACAGATATACAGCTCACCAGTACAGATAGAGAGTAAGATTACGTGTGCTGTCATCCAAATCAGAGAGCGCAGAAAGGAGAACTAAGTGGTTAGGTTTCCACCTAGAAAACACCTGAAAAACCCCTGAAACTTTCTCATCTACCACACACACAGATTTGTAAACAACCTTCACTCCTCAAGTTCTTCTCAACTCTGGACCGTGGCAAACCACCTTGTTTCACTACAGCTTCAGTTCTGCATTCAATCCATTTCGGAGCTGCATCTTTCTCTACACAAGGTAAAAGACATTCAAACTGTCTTACTTCTCCATTCTCGACTGTCACACTGCTCTGGCACTTAACAGCTTACATCAGCTTCTTTGCTCAAGGCAAAAAAACTAAATTAACCACATAAGACTGACAAGTCCACATGAAAACACAGCGCATTACGCACTAAATGGATTTTTAATATCGCGTGTGAGCACACAAAGGCTAAGTGATAATCAGGAAAAAACTGTTTGCTGTGTCACTAACTCTCTCTCTGTTTCACTTTTCCTTTAAGTGCTACTGAGTGTGGTTTCCCAGGCTGCAGGTGAGAGATCAGTTCAGCTATAGTACCTGTTAATGCCATTAAAATGCAATCTTAAGGATGCAGATGTGCAAAATAATTGCCACATCAACAACTTTTAATGGAGTCTAGGTGTTCCGTGCAATCCAACCTCCGTGTAGCCAAGAACGGAATAAGACTATCCTTGTGTCAGCACTAATTTAGCAGCATTGACATCACAGAAAAATCTTTTACATTAAGATTATAGACCTTTATATCTTTATATTCTTCTGATCCATTAGACTAAAGGCTGAAGTCCACTCCACGCCACTACCACAAAATTCACCCCACGCCAGCCAGCAGCCCAGAAAGCCCCGAGCTGGAGGAGGAACAATGATGCTCTTAAAAGAATCTTGCTCCACAGCGTCAGAGTTTTTGGCCACCGCAGCCGGGCTGACGAGGTGCATGGAGAATGGGGAATGGATGAGGAGGGGCCACAAAAGCTCCTCTGTGTCCCTTCCACAGCCTGGATAAATCAGTCTTTGTTATCTGCAAGTTAAAAAATGACTAAGATTCTTATATCTGTGTCTATTTTTGCATCTGCGTTTGCACGTCCGAAGACACTGATGCAGCAACGGTGGTGGCTCCTGGAGGTCATAAAGGAAGAACGTCAGCAGTGTCGTCTTTTGTAACGTAGAGGACGATCGCTCTGTCTGCATCAGTCCTCAGTTATTTATCTCTCGCCCTTGTGTTTTAGCCTCGAAAACCTTGCTTTCGCAAATCAACCACTGGCCTTGAGCAGTGAATGGCCAAACAGGCACTTCATATAAAGAGAGCACATACGGCACTGGCAAAGAGACGAGGACATACTGCCAGGTATTTCTTTACACATTTCACACAGACAGAAAAAGAGACAGAGAGAGAGAGAGACAGAAAGAGACAGAGAGAGAACAGGAGAGAACTGTCACTTCTGCTTTCTGTTCCCAGAACGTTTGCGTTAGGTTGGATAAATCTTGATGTGAAAAAGTTGGTTCATTTTTGACCTGTTAGAAATAGAAAGTACAAGCACAACTTTACTATGGCAACAACCGACCCAAGAGCCATATTAAACTGAGCCCACAATAAATAATCTTTAATCTAAAACATCCCTAAGCATTTCACAGAAATATGTTTGTGTTTTTTTCCCCAGATATGTAAAGAAAAAAAACATTTCTTATGGTCAGTTGCAACATTAACCCACTCAAAGAAATTTCGACAGAATCTGGAAAAAAAATCCCACAAAGCATCTGGAACCACAGGTTTACTGGCTGTTAAGCTGTATTGCTCAACTTGCTGAATGTCACACATGGTCTGAGCGTTGCAGAAGTGAAAACTGCTGAAAGGCTCTACATGTTTCTAACCAACATCTGCTTATCTGCTATCCATTTATTTGAAATTCTGCTCTGGGAAAGCTCAGGTATGTTCACTTATTTTCTTTTTTTGCCAAGGAACTGATATTTTGCCGAGGAACTATATATTTCAAATAAGTTCATTCAAATAAGTCACAAGCGCCAATGTAGCCCTTCATTTATGTATCATCTTACAGGTGAAAGGCACAAGGGATCTCTGAAGCTGGAATTCAAAGTCCAAGTCAACGTCAAAGACAACGCTCTCTCTCTCTCTCTCTCTCTCTAGCAATGTGTGGGGAACAAAATATAGTTCCTCTGGGACATGGTGCTATCTTTAACACAGAACAGTAGGACAACAGTACAGACTGAAAATACATCTAATAAACACACACAAACTGCACAAAACATTACACAAAACACTATATGACCATGAGTCCAGGACAATGCAGACTAAACAGTAAGCAGTGGAGCGGAAAGATAAAACTCATAGTCGTCAGCAGCAATGATTACTTGTATAGTGTATTATTATTACTGGTGCACACTGTTAATAGTAATGATACTATTAGTAATAGTCTCCACGTTTATGATGTGTTCCATATTTCAAAACTATGAAGAGAATTCCATATGAATACCTATTTGGGGAAGTATGTTCGACCTATAGGCTATATTGGGATTATTATTTTAGACACTAACAACTGCCACTTGGCAGCTCCAAGAGCATGTAAACAGTTCCCTGAAAATCAACTGAAATTGATTTCATAATCATCGCCATACTAAAATATATCATGAGAATGAAAAAATATTATCATGTAACCACAGTTAAAGTCCAAAATTTCTAACGCCTACCGTCCCCAAAAGTCCTTTTCTGGTGTGGCAAACATTCCCTACTTAGGACACCTCTTAAGAGCCTGTAATACTCAAATCTAATATGTAAATGTGTAAAAGTAGGGAATTAGTGTCGCCCATAGAGTTCTGTCTCAGTTATGATAACTCTCCTTCTCTAAAACGCTTAATACTCATAAGCCACAATCTTCAGTCAACACTTATCTCTGCCCCAGACCACAAATTCACTCAGTGACCAACAGACAAAAAACAAAAACAAAAAAAAAGCATTAACATTCTATGTAAAAAAGAAATGCAGAAATATTAAGACAAAAAGAGATGATGTGCCAGCATTTTTAAGATTAGATTAGATATGCTTTAAGGTCCATGAGGGAAATTTGCATTTAGAACACAAACAGTGCCACTACTTCACATTCCAGCATACACACTCAAATATATACAATGTTTTTATCTTACTCATTACATGTCATTAAATTAGATCTGTTCCTCAACCGGGGGAAATAAAAAAGAAAGAAAATACACCTGACCCAGCCTAATCACCATGCTTGGCAGCCATGCAAGAATTTCACACATTCATAAACCACTGCTTAAGAAAGATGAGAGAAAAGAACAACACTAAATCAGTCAATCTGTTGTTTAGGTGAAGAATAACCGCCTGATCCTTAGATAACCTGCACACGATCTCCAAAGTCTAGAGAAGATTTTAAAAGGTGGAAAGAGGTGGTTAGGGTTTAGCGTACCTTTCAGCATCCAGCAGAAGTTAAGCCAGAGTTAAGAGTGATGTCTGCTGCACTGAGGGTGAGAGAAGCTTTATCAAAGGCTGCAGTGTTGTTACATAGAACTGAGGTGAAGCCTCTCCCTCCTTTTTCTTCCTGTGTGTAGTAATCAGGTCCTCCCAGAAGCAGCTTCACCGCCAGGACCAGTAAACTTGGGGGGGAGGAAGGGGGCACACATACACGTTGGTAATACTACTGACTCACGTAATACTGACTAACACTAACCTAACCCTGACCTTATCCTCAGAAACAAAAAAAAGCAAAAAAGCTGCATTTGTGGAAAAAAGAGCAGCTGTTCTTGTGAGGTTCAGTCAAATGTCCTCACTTTTACAAAAACAGGTCATGTTTTCCTATCACTCAGGGGACATTATGTCTTTACAAAAGGCCTTTTAAAATAAACACACAAAGAACAATAACACCCAAGTGCACTCAGTGCAGACACACAAACACACATCATAACAATGGCATGAAATAAAGGCACAAAACACCTGTGTGTGACCATGGACACTCACATGTACATACGTATGTGCAAGCAAACACACGCACACACATGTATGCACGCGCACGCACACGCACACATGCAGACACACACTTCCAGGAAGTTTGTTTCCTGGAGTGTTGTACTGTGAACACAAAACAAGTCCTTTATTTCACTTACATGCAAAGCATCTGGAGTTTTGTTATCATTCCAGAAAAACAAACCCCATGACTTATCGCAACCACAACAATCTGAAGTATTTTCATCTCAGCGCTCTAAATCCCAAGACTGGTGGTGGTGGTGGGGTTTGGGAGAAGGGAGGTAGTGTGTATGATAGCTCTTCATTCCAGCAAAACATTCTTAGAACATTTTCCTCTCCAGATTTCCTCTTACCAGCACTGACCGGGACCAGTTTCCCAAAAGCATCTGAATTATAAATAAGCGATCTAAGGTATTCGTAACATGGTGATTTCTGGCAGCCTCGTTCTACACTGACATTACATAAGCCAGGCTGTACCTTCATTAAATGAAACTGCTGTGTGCATGGCTGCATGAAGGAGTTTCCTTCTTGAATCCACAGCAACTGTTACTGAAACTAGTAGGCGAGTGTGACACTACATCAGAGGCTGCAATCACTAAAACTGAACTAATAATTCAAAAATTACTCAAAAATAATTCAAAATTACTGCATCACTACAATCACTAACGACAGTACTGAACTGAGCACAACTGTAGGCTTTTATATACAATATTCAACTATGCCAAACAATAGTGTTTTTCTATGCAGACAGTAAAATGCTGAACACATTTAAAAAAAAAGCCTTAGAATGTGGAAAGAACTTTGCCTGCATAAAGAATTCAAACACTTTCCTTTACCTACTTTCTTGGTAATATCAAGGCTTGCCCCGGAGCAGCAGCCATCCTGTACGAAGATTTGTTTCATGCCCTATTTTATTACCTACAAACTCCTCCATTTTCAGTACCTTTCGAACTCCACAATGGTCACTACAATAAAATGCACAGTTGAACATTTTAAAACATGCACAGTGATGTTCTGCTTAATTTCTATAAATCCTTGGAACAGGAGGAGAACACCAAGGATCTCATATGGTGTGAAAGGGGGGGGATCTGAAAAAGAATCTCTAATCAACTCTCTTCTTCAGGTACTCAGCAACAAGGCTTGTACATACCATTTCTATGAGCTATAATATAGCCATCATAATTCATGGGTGTAAATAGTAGTAATGAAAAGAGGTGGTCTCAAATGTAAATAAAAGAACATCTTCTGGACTGAATACTATATCTGTCCTAATGTAATTCCAAACACACACACACACACAATGTGGAAGAAAGCTGTGTTGTGTGCGTGATCCCGATGTTGCCAAGCAGCGGTGTGCTAGGTCACACATGAGTAGCTAGAGGAGTGCCTCGATGAATATGGACTCATACTGGCCTGACAAACATCTTCACTTTCCACTTTCCATGTCTTTGCACTGGAGCTCAGATGCGGTGCTTCTTTGGCCATTCCCACTCCCCCCCCCCATCTACATGGAACAGACTGAGCTAAAAATCAACAAGAATTTCTTAACAGAGATGGATATTGGTATCAGACAATACTTTACATAACATGACTAAGTCAGTATTACACAGATTATTAGGATTATGGTATGTTGTAGGGTTGCACTGATACTGATACCGTATCGGTATTGGCACAGGCACTAGAATTTAAACATCGGCGACAAAGATACAGATACCTATAACCAACACCACAAAGTGATTTCTGACATAGGCATGCGCTCCAGGAGACAGAACTTCACAAAGTGTCAGCGATGTGGGATGACAAGCAGCAGTATAAATGCCCATGGCTCATGAATGGGTGAGACAGGCTTCTTTCAGTAATGACTTGTCTGCCACTTTGTTAGTAAGTTCAGATTATTATTGAGAGAGCGGAAGACAACCACCGCTTCTGTTGGGGTAATGATAGCATTTAGCCTTGATTTAGTCTCTAGCAAAGCAGCCCGCTAGCCGGGCCTGTGTGTTTGCTAGTCCTGCCTGCGGTGCACCTCCGTCGGTGAGCTGCATCACTCAGCAGTGGAGTCTTGTGGCCCTATGCTTCAACCAAGCCAGAAAAAACGCTGGAATATGCTGCTGGGGTGAAATTGTCTAAACTCTGGCAGAGCTAGAAACTCAGTCAAGACCAAAATAAAATATTTTAAAAATGTAATTGTATAAATATCAGGATCTACAGGTAAGTTAGATCAAATAGAATAAGTATGTGTATATACGTTTCCCCAGTTTTAGAGTTCATTTTTTTCTGCTGTCCATGTCCAGTGTGTGTTGAGTATAGGTAAGGAACACACTAGAACTGAGAATAAAGTTCTGGACAAGGCAGAGAGTCCACTCCTTCACAAAGCGAAATTCCAAATACTCCCCACTGCGCCACATGCTAGCAAGTTTGGAGGTGGTTTTCCCAGGTTCTTAAAGAAAACTGGAAAACCTCCCACCTATTAAGATGTACTACACAAGAGAGGCAGAAGCAGAGAAAGTGACAGTGTGTGTGAGAAGGGATGGGCTATGTGTCTAACCTGACCTTGGTCAGGATAACCTTGGGAGCAGCTCAAGCAGCTGTGCTGTCCAGCCCTGTAAGAACACCCAGATTCAATTCCTTTATTCATTAGAAGAGGCTGAGCCCTCAGCAGCTTGGCCAGAGGGCCAATCCTCTAGCCTAGCCAATAGAAGTCTGCAAACAAATCTTTCTGAACAGAACGTTCATCAGCCTCAGCTTCAAGGCAAGAGGTTAAAGATCATGAATTTGATCTAGAGGTTAAGGTCACATCAAGTCATGGTAAACAACCATTTAACAGGCACTAAACTACAGAACCAACCTCTAGCAATCGGTCAGAGGAAGCCCAGGGAGACAGTAGAGGAGTGGTTGCGGTGATGAACATCTGTTGTTTGACATGGGGGAATAGCATCTACAGCCTTAAGAGCTCCAGCTGTATAAATAACCCACAGTTTAGACAACATCACTGGCCGAAGCACCAGAAAGGAAAAGCCCTAGATCAGCAGAAGCCAGACCACGGATGCAGAGACAGCGGAGGGTTTTAGCAGTAGTATAGCTGAGTAACCACTACTCTTGTGGAGAATGATCAGAGTTTACATAGCTGTGGCATACATACTCACATGCTGAAGTGGCACAACTCTCCAGCTTCACAGGCTCTAACAAATTCCACTACGTATGACTCAGCAACAACCAGCCAGAGAACTTTCTTCTCACCTTAGACTGAAGTCATAATTCCCACAAGTGCAAGACTGGAAGCCAGTAGTGAGTTCCGAGCGTAATACTCTGAATCTGTATCACTGAATGCCAGAGTCTACTGACCCATGAAGAGATGAATGCAAGCCGCTTGATTGGCCCAATAGGATTCGGCTTCAGCTTGCTATAAAATTCCAATCGAGCAAAGCAGTTTACCCCAAAACGCCAATGTTTACGAAAATGAAATCCAAATCCACTCAAAGATGACTGAAGACTGGGGTTACTTTGGTTCTAGCCAGGATTAGGAATTCCCTTAAAACATCCACAGATCCCCTAAATCCACCATGAATGCATTTTTTTGCAGTTTCTTTGCTTGCAGCTTGTTTGACTCGTGGTCCAAATCAACGTCCGTGAGTGACCATGAAACACAGAGCGAGGCCGAGAGAGAGAGCGTGAGAGAGAGAAAGACAGATACACAGAGAGAGAGAGAGAGAGAGAGAGAGAGAGAGAGAGAGAGAGAGAGAGAGAGAGAGAGAGAGAGAGAGAGAGAGAGAGACTGCAAGAGGATCAATAGCCCCGAACAGAAGAGCAGTCCCGGGGGAACAGCGTGGGTTTTATTTTCAGTCTCTCAGCCAGGGTTAGTTTCTTTTTCTTCTCCTTCAGCAGGACACCAGCACAGAGCCAGTAACTGCTCTGAGCTCCAGCATAAGACGAGCTTCAAACAAGTCCCAGTGAGGTATTAACCAGGCAGCCAGCGAGCACGAGAAAACACCAGAAAGAGAGAGACTTGCGTTTAAACATTAACACAGTGTCCCATCAAGCATGTCAAAAGGAACACAGATGAGCAACTGGCCTACAATAAGCAAACACACATGCGCGCACACACACACACACACACACACACACAGCTTTAAATCTGTTAGGCTTTATGTTCATGTTTTCACAGATCGGCTCCTACCCTCAACAGATTCTGAACTGCATTTAGACTACTTTTTTCATCTCTACATTATTCTATCTTATTATATATTAATGTTTAATCTTTCAAGCTTGTGGTAGAAGTGTCTACAAAACCGGAGTGAACAATGCATTATGTAGCCTTAAGTTCATTGAGACTAAACCTTTAGGATGTTGTGTGAAGGCACTGATTAATGAAATTGAGAGTAGAATTTACATTGAATTTTGGACAGGTGATGCTGTCCATTCTTAGGCTATTCCATCACTGACGCCATCATTAGTAAGTTTTACGGGTCTTTGGTTGGCAGTAGTCAGATTCGGACATGGTTTCGCCTTAAAACTAGATGGGTTAAGGGTGTAACAATTCCAAAACAGCACTGAAAAGCTGTAGAAGGAAAAAATAAAACTGGTTTGGGACAATAAGAGTATTGGACCAACAGTCCAGACAAAAGCTCTAGTGAGCACGCAAACACACACACATACACACACACACGCAGGAAAATGCAGTAAGAGAGTGGAGTTCATTTCCTGCATTTCCCAAAGCAGTGTTCACTGATGCACCTCAGATACAGGAAAAAGGGGTCTTTTTCACATACACACAGACACACGCATGCACACTCGCAGGGTTTAGCTGGGGGGTGAGGGAGTGGGGGGTGGTGGTAGGTCGGCTGGAAGTTTCCACTTTGTTGGCATTTTTTATCTTCCTGGTCATCTGTTCCCAACACACACTCTGAGAAAAAGACTTCCTGTTTTGCATCCATTGTCACACTTGTGTGTTACACGGCTGGACACATCTAACTTTAGACCGGTTTTTGTGTGTGAAGGAGCTGCTTCCTCCACACAGCAGAGTCTACTCAGCCTCATTTAGCGCCTTGTCTAAAACAGAACAACACTTGCTGCTGAAAAGCATGTGCATAGATTCTTAGATAGGACTAGGGCTGAGCGATATGATGTACATCAGCAGATCAATGAAGACTCAACCCAGCTTTGCACACTGTTAAAAGCAGCACAATCTACATGACTTTCTTTTCTACACATACAAGACAAAACAAGCAAAATACAGAATTTTAAAAAACAAATTCTATTTTTTTCCCCCAAAACAGTTACAAATATTATTCATGCAAACGTGTTAAATCCAAATAAATGGCCACCTATTAAGTAGAGAGTTAAAAGAGTTTGTAATACAAAGAGGCATGACCCTGAGAACTGCAATGATGCAGCAAGAAATAAAGACTGTCTATAGTCACGTATAAAGCTTCTGTAACAGTGTAATCCTTTCAACTATGAATTCCTGTAGTACTGTGTTTTTGTAATTTATAACAGCTGCGCAGCACCTTAAAATAAAATATAGGCCTAGTACTGTTTCCATTTTACTGCAAGATTCATTATAAAAAAGGTTTAAGTTATAACTTAAAGTGTGCAACCTGGCTGCCCTAAAACTTTTGAGTTCATTAAACGTCTAGCAGTAATATTGTTTGTGTTAACTTTTAAGCTAAAATGCTGAATCTTTTTCTCTTTTTCTGTAGTATTTTTTTTTCTGCCAAATTTTCTAAATTCCTATAGTATTACTTAAGTTCTTCAAAGCTCAACAGAAATCATTCAAAAATAGCAATAAAACCCTGTTTGCTTACCTCAGTCACCCAATTGAGGAGCAGAGCGTGAGAGTAGCCAAACAGGCCCAGACACTGAAGTGCTGCAGTGGAGCATGGTAACTCTGGGTAATGTAATTTAGCCTGAGTCGTATTGACCAATTCAGGAAGAGGTTTCCTCTGTCCATAAACATGGCTCCAATATGGCCGCTCTCAGGAACATTTTATGTTACATAAGAAAGAGGTTAAAAACAATCCTAATCTATTCCACTCTCTCACTACTTCACATTCCAGGCCCACAAAGCCAACTGAACAGTCTGCCAGCACACACACACACACACGAGCTCCATAGAAGAGATACCTAGTAAACATCGCTCGCCAGCGAAATTCCCCCGTTCCAAAACAGGATAACGTCTGGCAGACTGGCAGACAAAACGCCTCACACAAAGAAACCTTGAGCGGATGCGCAAAACAATGCTACTGTAACGTCCAGGCAGGAATTTACCTGTTCAGAGTGACTGCTGCTGTAGATCAGCGGAGAAAACTGTGGCGACGGACTGCTGTCGTCCTAAGTCTATGGAAGTTCTCTCCCTCACTCTCTCTCTCTTTAGCCAAGTTGCAACTCCCTGCTCCAATAACCCCTGACCCACAGGAAGTAGACACAATGGACTGAAAATAACGAGAGCAAGCGAGAGAGAGAGAGAGAGAGAGA